GCGTTTTTCTGTATGGCGTGCGGGGGGACGTCCAATCTCTGCACAGCACACACCTGCACAGACCTGGCCCGTGCGAAGCTCCGCACAGTGCGGTGGGGGGCGGGGGGGAGCGGGTGCGCTCCCACCCCCACACCGTGGGGGGGGGGGGGGGGGGGGGGGGGGGGGTATTTAACTTCATTATTATTTATTTATTTGTTTATTTTTTGGGGTGGGGGGGGTGGTGTCTGATGGAGGTTGGGAGGTGGAGGGGTCTTAACTGTGAGTTTCTGAGGGAGGTACACAGGTGTTCATCTCGCTGTTCGAGGGAGGAGTGCCGCCATGCTGTTTGAGGACGATACATGGAGGATAGGACGAGAGATGGAAGACACATGGAGGAGAGATGAAAGATAGATGGAGGAAACACGGAGGACAGATGGAGGAGCGATGGAGGAGCGATGGAGGAGCGATGGAGGAGAGATGGAGGAGAGATGGAGGAGAGATGGAGGAGAGGGGGTGTCTGATGGAGGTTGGCAGGTGGAGGGGTGTTAATTGTGAGGTTCTGAGGGAGGTACACACCCTTTCATCTCGCTGTTCGAGGGAGGAGTGCCGCCGTGCTGCCATTCGAGGACGATACATGGAGGATAGGACGAGAGATGGAAGACACATGGAGGAGAGATGAAAGATGAAGGAGAGATGAAGGAGAGATGGAGGAGAGCTGGACGAGAGATGCAGGAGAGATGGAGGAGAAAGATGGAGGCATGGAGGAGAGATGAAGGTGGAGGGGATATGGCTGGGAGATGCGACATGGCAGAGAGGTGAAGATGGAGACATGGATGAGAGATGGAGGAGGGGGGGATATGGCGGGGATATGGGGATTTGGCAGAGAGATGGTGGAGGCATGGAGGAGGGAAGAAGGTGGAAGGGATATGGCGGAGAGATGGTGGAGGGGATACGGCGGGAGGAGAGATGGAGGTGGCGGCATGGAGGAGAGACGAAGGAGAAAGTGGAGCCATGGAGGCATAGAGGAGAGATCAAGGTGGAGGCATGGCGGCAGGGAAGAGAGATGATGGTGGAGGCATGGAGGCATGGAGGAGAGATNGTGGAGCCATGGAGGCATAGAGGAGAGATCAAGGTGGAGGCATGGCGGCAGGGAAGAGAGATGATGGTGGAGGCATGGAGGCATGGAGGAGAGATGAAGGTGTAGGCACGGGGGAGAGATGAAGGTGGAGGGGATATGGCGAGGAGATGGGGACATGGCGGATGCCAAGTCCATGATCGGGAACCAAAAAAATCAAAAAAAGGTTCACGATTTCCTATGATTTCCAGCGGAGGGAATATGGCGGTGAGATGGGGGGTTGTAGTAGGAGGATTAGGAGGAGGATGACAAAGAGTGGAGATGGCGGAGGAGAAGAGATGGAGGGAGGGAAAGACAAGGGAGGAGGAAGAGGATGGGCGGAGGAGAGATGAAGGTGGAGGCATGGAGAAGAGATGCAGGTGGAGGGGATATGGTGGATGCCGAATCCATGATCGGAGAAAAAAAAAAAAAAAGGGCAATTTCATGATCGGAGGAAAAGACAAGGGAGGAGGAACAGGATGGGCGGAGGACAGATGGAGGAGATGACTGCAGAGGAGGAGGAGAAGAGATGGAGTGGGCGGGTGGGGGGTGGGGGAAGAAAGGCCCCCTCCTTCTCCTCTGCAGTTGTCTCCCCCATCTGTCCTCCGCCCATCCTCCTCCTCCTCCACCTCCGCCTCATTCCTCCTCCCCCCCCCGATCGCAGAAAGGGGAAAAAAAAAAAAAGGCGACTTCAAGATGTCAAGCCCTAAATAACAAGTATGTTAACCACACACACACACATATATATATACATATATACAGCCCTACCGGGCAGTTCTGTTTGTGACGATATATGCATATACATATATATATACATATATACAGCCCTACCGGGCAGTTCTGTTTGTGACGATATATGCATATATGTATATATGTATTCGTATATATATATATTTGACGATATATATATATATATATATCACAGCCCCTCGTTTGTTGTCCTCTTCTCCCTCTCTGCCTACGGTTTACCGGGCAGTTCTATTTGACGATATATACTACGACTTCGCTAGCTTCCTGCTACGGTTTTCTCCGGTCAGGTCGAGC